ATGTCGGTATTAATGAATAAATAACTACCATTTGATACGATTCGAACAGAAAGAGGACGATTTATCGAAATGAGAAATGAGAATATATATATATATACACAGTATATACATTTCGCGTGTCACAGAACCATACAAATCACTAGTAAATCGTTATCCCATAAATAAAGAATAATAGCTTTGGGACATGTGTTTATCTAACACTATACATCGCCAGGATTTTATTCATCATTTCGTGATTTTTGATTGGTAATTTTTTTTTTTTGAGGGAACGAAATATACTTTGCCACGTGTTACTTTGATAAAAATCAACGCGGCGCAAATGAGATTATACGCGAAGCGCGTTATATCGATAAGTCGACTTGCCGGCGGAATAAATTCGTTTGGATTTTCTACATGAACGATGAAAGTTACATGGAATAAATTTTCGTTGAATTTACAGACTCTCGGGAGTATCGTGCAAAACCGATTTCCATTTCCACGTGCACACGAGATTTCATACCACTCGCGTGCGTGGGCAAAAAGTGGAGAATCCGTTCTGCGTTCTCTGTCGCATCGTCGCACAATCTCACGTCTCTTATCAACGGAGCAACGATACCGTATATATGTGCCGTATCGTTATTATTCCGTAATGACGTTTGATACCGCCCGAACGGCTCTCTTAACCTACTGTCCTAATTCAGGCTCGGCTATCTCGTCGTTTTCCTGTGCACAGGAAAACACCGTTTATTTTTCAGGATCATTATAACATTTATAACTTTCCACAACGTATCGGGCATTGTTCTCCGCTTTCCTTTTAATGGGAAACGCTAAACGGCAAGATGAATAATAATTGTTACAATGTCGAGCAAGTAATTTTTCAATTTATATATGCCTTTGGAAGTGTGAATAGGTACGAATATTTCGTATTTCAGTTGTGCCAATATTTTAACAAGGATTTTATTTGTAGTTTGATTTCTGGAAATTAAACCGAAAAAATTGAAAAATTACGAAAAAAAAGAAAAAAGAGATTGACGCCAAATTTGCTGAAAAATGTATAAATTAATCTGGAATATTTTGTGTACAGAGAGTTTATAAAACTACCGCGTATTTTGGTGAGACTGAGTTGAAAGAAATGTTAATAATATTTATAATATTTATATAAATTGTACATTTAAAATGTGTAAAATTTATAAATTGTACATTTAAAATATATAAACCATTTCACATTTATTTGCATTTATATTTATTATTATTTTATTTTTAAATTAAATTAATTTCTATAATAATTATAGAAGAATGTATGTTTATTGCAATTTACCACATGAAAGGAACAAAATTCAAGACTGGAAAAATTTGCCAGTAAAAAGTCACATAAAATTTAAATTAAATATAGATTTGAAATTTGTAGATACATTGATGTCGCACACGTAGAAGGCAATTATTAAATTTTTTAATATTATAATATATTTTTTTCTCTTGTAACTTGTAAAGAATTGTATGTTTGTACATTTTATTAATACATGAAATCTTAGAAAATTTGCCTTCTTTATCATGCAGAGACTTTATAAATATGTATAATAATTTGCGTTATATCGATATAGGTTTACCTACTTGATTGATAGATATAAGTTATATCTTTCAGATGTCTGAGCAATCATTATACGATGAAAAAAATACTTTGTCATGGGAAGGACAATAATTTAAAAAATAATAATAATAATTCTTTCTCATAAAATTATATATACCTATACATATATTTAATATATGTATAGATTTATAATACATATATTAAATATAATACATATATAAATACATATATTAAATATATGTATAGGTTTACATACACTTTTATGTTTAATATAAAATTTTATATTGTATTAGCATTTTCGCTACAAAACGCTTGAAACCGAGCACGATCGCGTGCAAGTGTTTCTATGAACGCGTGTAGCTTCTTATCAGCTGTTATCAAAATACGTCATCGCGGTGTGTCGCGTGGCCTATTATTTTTCTTCTTTTATTACGCAAGTCGCTTCAGGTCGAGTTGCCTGGCTAACATTGCGGAAAATGAAGATCTGCCCTTTTCCCGTTACCTCCCCGTTATTTTTTTTAAGTCGCGCGATTTCTGTTAGGAGCTATCTACCCCGCTCATATTTTACGTTTCGCGAAATTCGTTTATCACGGAGTAGATTGCGTTTTAATGGGCCCCTCGTTCCGATAGAAACTATCGGCCGACATTTAAAATTAATGGCATACACTCTTAGGATGGTATTACAACCACGGCGAGCGCGCGGCTAAACCGCTTAATGTTGTTGTGGGCCGCGCGTAGGCATCCTATCCCTATATTACCGTTTATCGTGCGAAGTGCTATCAACCATCTACTATTTTATCCCTAAAATACTTGTTCTTTTCTTTTTTATCGAATATATTTTACCGTGAGCTATACATATTGTTTTACTCAATTTACCACGAAGCCACCGTTTTCGATAACAAAACAAATTTCTACCGAAATTTCTGGGAAACAAAAAGCGCAAAAAAAAAAAAAACAATGCGTCGCGTATTACTACCTTTGATTCTTCCGATAGAGGTTCAGAAAACTATAATATTGTAAAATAAAGCGTACCGTCGCACACGCGCGCGCGCGCGCGCGCGCTTCTGTAAAACGCTCGATTGACGTCAGTCACGTTGATATTTTTAGCTTTCTGTTATAGCGCGATTGTTTAGAAAAAAGAAAAAGGAAAAGAAAGCAATGCCGTTTTCTTTTCAGATTGCCGTTGTGCGTGCTGCAATCCCCTCTCGCCGCGATCATTTGCACGTTTTCGTCGCTCCAGGCGGTATTCCGTTTCCTTTCTTTCCTTCTCATTACCACCTACCGTTATCGATATTCCGGCTCCCTGGCACGATAAGAGGGGTTGGCGATGATATTTACGATAAGACAGGCTCTTCGGGGTTACGTGGGCGCTGTCGAGTGGTGGGCGTTGTGCACAGGGTTGGTTTATTTTAAACTCATGTCATCACGCATTATTCGGTACACCATGAGTCAATATCGGCCTCCGCTCTTGTGATCGCTCTTTACGCTCTTGCTTATTTAAGATATCCGTGAGAGACGAGCAGGGAGAGACGGTGTATCGAAGAAAAAAAAAGAAGGAAGAGGGAGGCTAAAATGGCAAGGATGTACGCAGGGGTCGCGTTGGAGCGAGATTTATTTGATATTATCATTAGTTCCACGATTAGGTTTTGCAGAAGTTTTTTGAACTTCTATACTGTATACGATCGTACAATTATTGTACAATTAAGAAATTTATGCGCTTATAATTACGGTTTATTATCTCGGAATGATATATACGCTATATAATCATCGCAGAATGTTATTATTTTTCGATGAACAGTTCATCGCATTTGATAGGATCACGTGACGTAAAGAAGTTCATTACGCAAAGTCAGAAATAATAGGACGCCGTTTGCCGCTCGGGCCGCTTAAATCGGTAATAATATATAAACGTTGCGTATATCGCAATAAGTAGAAATTATTTGCGTATCAGCGGTCCGCAATTTCATCGCCGGTTTTTTACGTCATCGTGCGTATAATTAGCCGCGAGCGTCACGTCAATTACATCAATGTGTACTAACATCAATTACGATTTTATTCGCAAAACCGAGTGAAATTGATAATAATAACGTTGCTTGTCCCACACGACACACTGCGAAAATCTCGTTACAGTGGCGTATGAAATTAGTTGACGAAATTCGGACAGCATGTCGATGGGACAGCCCGTCGTCGTTGAAATCGCTATCGATCCGCTACGAGTCCCCGTGCCTCGTCCCTTCGGCGCGGATCCGGCCGATACGTGCGCTGGAGCGTGCGTCCGGAAGTGTTCTTACCGGAAGTAAACGGCGTTGGACGTTAATCGGCGCGCGTTTCATTAACAAGTTACACGCATGTCGGCCAAGGGTCTCGATGTGGGAGACGCCCGCGTCATTTCGGGGTCCGCGGATTCATTGGACGCGTCCTCGCGCAGTTCCCGGCGGAACTGAAACGTTGATCGCGCGGCATTATGCATACGCGCCAATTTGCCTTCATTTGCATTGGACGAGAGCGCGGTGTGTCTTCTCTGTCTCTTACCTCGTACTTTCCGGTGCATGCATTCTCGTCTGATGTAAAACGCGTTGCCACATAGAAAAAGTCGACTTTAGACTCTCGTGGGAGATGCAAAGCGTTATTAAAAACGACAACGGTGTCCTTGGATAATTTACATATTTCTATTTTATACGATAACGTATCTTTTTTTTTTGTTCCACGCCGGTTGTCGCGAACGTTAGAAGAATCCTTGAGTTCTTGAGTTTTCGAACGTTACTTTGCATTTTTCTTAAGTACACGAGCTGTCCCAGAATACATTTTCCCCGAGTATATACGCCCGCTGCCCTATAGAACGCATTTCCTTTCAGCCGTAGATCTTCTCGTGAATGCAGAATTTATTTTTCCCTAGCGACGCTTTATTGACAAAATGTCGAATTGTGAGGAATTTTTAACAATGATAATTAAAGCAGTTTGAATTGAACTCAGAGAGAATAAATGAATATATATATATATATATATATATATATATATATATAAAGAAATTGTATTTAGTCTCTAGAGTTTTTGAAATTGTTTGTAGAGTCAATTTAAAAAATAGAAACTTCAAGATAACAAAAATTAATTCCGAGGTTTAAGATAAAAATACAGAAAATTAAGAAGTAGACGATTGCAGCCTGCAATACCGCTGCTGTATTGCGAAATGATTAATGAAATTTATCGGTGTAAGTCATGTGCAATTCTTGATATCACGTGGAACTTGAAGAATATCCACGTAAATTAGGAGTGTGTAGTATTGAATGACAATACTTGTTATAGAGAAAGGGAGAGAAAGAGAAAGCAATTACTTGTGTATTTTTATAGTCACAATGAAAGTAACACGCGAAATAACGCGGAAAGACATTAATCTTCTGAATTTCATCCGAAACCTTTTTTTCTATCTTTGCAGGGAGGAAGTGCAGGAGCACACGGTGAGATGGAACGCGAAGTTCGAGTTTTTATGCAAGATGAGCGCCAACGCGTCCACGGGCGTACTCGATCCGTGCATTTTAAGGATATCTGTGAGAAAGGTGAGAGCAAACTTACTTTCCGTTTGAGGCGTGAACATCGCCGGGCTGGGAACGCGACGAAAGGAAGACGGAGAGATTTTTCTCAACTCTTGTCTTCGCGAACGTTTTACTCTCTTCATTCACATTCTCACGCGTGCGAAATAGCGCAGAGCAAAAATCGCCTATGAAATAACGTCTTTGTCTTATTTATTCATTCTTTATTTTCTTTGTAAAATTAATAATACGAAGAAATTTCAATCGATAAAATGAAGAAAGATATACGATGAAGATAAGAATTGTGATCTCATCATAAATGCTTATAATAAAATTTGCTAATTTTATTCTTTAAAAATGTTCCGATAGATTTATTACTTATTGTTAGATAATTTGAATAAATAAATATCTCTTCCGTTGGAAATATTCGGAATATTCAAATACCAGAGCTGTATATTTTTTTATTACAAAATTAATTTTTCATTTTGTTCTTATAAATATATTCTTGAGTGAAAGCGTAATTAGACAAGTAGTTAACTTTAAACTATGCCACGTGTTTTCATAAACCTCTTTTGCGCGGCAGGAGTTGAAAGGGGGCAGGTCCTTCCAGAAGCTGGGCTTCACCGATTTAAACCTGGCCGAATTCGCAGGAGCTGGCCTCTGCCGAACAAGGTGCCTCCTGGAGGGCTACGATGCGCGACATCGTCAGGATAATTCTATGTTGCGCGTAGCCATAAAAATGAATATGCTCTCCGGAGATATTCTATTTAAAGTGTAAGGCACTATCCATCTATCTGAAATAGTTTTATTATTAATTTTTGAATTAATTATGTGAAAATTTATATCTCAGATTCTTGAATTTATCACGTTACATATGTGTAGTTTTTAAAATAAGTAATATATTGGATCAAATTACAATAGAACTCCGTTTATCCGAACAAATTTGTATTTAGTTTCAAATATAGGACTCTAAACTAAACTCTTATTATCCAAATCATTCGAATGGTAAGAGCTCGACTTCCGTTTTCTAAACGCCAGTTCCAATTATCGAAACTAATGAGCCCCTATTATCCATTAGATTATCCGGCCTATCTTGTTCCTCGATATATTTGGGTAAACGAAGTTCTATTGTAATAGATTAAATTTAAACAAACTCAAGTCTAAACTAATCTAACTTTTAAATGGAGCCTCGATGAAAAGAAATTCTTTCCTATAGCACATTTTCCATTTCTGTTTCTTTTTTCCTATTGATCTATTCTACACCGTGCGAAAGTGTGGTATAAAATCGTTACGCTTTAATTATTTCTGCTGTACGACAAACGCTGTGCCTGCGTTTGATCGTAACGACCTGATGGAATTCTTTTGATTAACGGATTAATCGATTATTTCCCCAGCCCTTCCCCGTCGTTGAAGCAGCAGTTGACGGTGCCCGGGGTGCAGGGTGTGCCTGGCGTCACCGGTGACGAGGTGACGGCATCCGAAAGATGCAGTAATCGGGAGGATTATGTGTCTACCGGTTCGCTGGCGGGAAGTATAGCAAGCGCCAGCAGTGGTTTCGGCAGTCTTCCCAAGAAGAGGCCCGCGCTCTTCACTTCCGGTAATTCGTCTATTTTCTATTTTGCGTCTGATATGTAAAGTATTTGTAATTCACAAAACAGATTTTGTATTTTAATTAATTAACAAAAGAAGCGTATGTATACGTGCAAAGCGCCGAGATGTGGTCTTGAAATTATTTTAAGACTATAAAATTATTTTAAAAATTAAAGAATAAATTCTGGAAAGAGGCGAAGAAATTTTTTAAAAAATCGACCAAAGAAAAGTTATTTTAATGAGTCGTGATGCGATTAGAACTTCTCAGCGGAACGGAGACGTACGATCCGATGACGCTCAGCGAAATCGTACCCTCGGCAGTCCCGGTGGAGGCTCTGGTAGAGGCGCACACGGAATCCGGGCACTCGCGCAACAGCAGCAATACCAGCCAGCTTAGCAAGGGGTCCGGCTACGGTTCCTTAAATTCGCACAGCCAGCACAGCAGACAGAGCAGTAGCGGTGACAGCGGTCACATTAGGTAAGACTTATCACGATCCTACGTTTCGACGACCCTACGCATCTATAACTTTGAACAACTTTCGAAATCGTCACGTTGTCTGGTGTAGCATATATGAGACAAAGCGATACTTTAGGAAGGTTTATATCTTGAAAAAAAGAAAAACATTTTTAAGTTGAGTGCAATCAACGAGGAGACGTTCAGAGTTTTTTTATTGACAGAGACGATTTAAATTTTTCATATTGCATCACTTTCTACATCTAATCGCGTTTAATTAAAATAGAAAGATATATTGAATTTTTATTGTCAATTATTCAATAGTTGCCAATAGTACGATATTCTGGAAAGATATTATCGACACCCGTTCACTGCACTTTCCTTCTAATCTTATACCTGCGAATTGCCTGATTTTACTATGTCTGTGATAACAGCAATGAGCATGAGTTGAAAATCGAGAAGATCTAAAAAGATCGCACGAAAGAATATGATCGATTTCATTGCAACGATCACTATAAACGACCGATAACGCGCGAATGATAAATAGATTTCGTCCCTAATTTCACTACAATAAACTAACTATTTCTCTTTTATAATGCAATACATATATGGCTTTATTAACAAGATACTCGAGCTATAGTTATCACACTGTATCTTGCTTTAAATATTATTCGCCTTTGTCTTAACTTGAGAAAGATATTCTATCTTCGACCTTTAACGATATCAACCTTTTATACTAATCGATAAAAAAAACTTGCTTGTTGAGCAAGCTCATGTAAACTTTCGATTAACTAACCGTTTCACTTTTAAATTAATAACATTATTGGAATTATATATGGCGGATATAAGCGATCTGACAGATGAGCCTGACAAGCGAGCGAATCAATAACGCAAGAAAATCTTCTGTTTTTGCTCCAGCCTCAAGCGATCTCTTCATTCTCAATTTCTTGACCATAACTACGAGACTCTGGACTCTCTATCTTTTTTTTACTTTACGTACGTCTTTCTTACTTTCTTTCTTTTACCTTTATGTACATGAGTTTATGATTTTTGCATGCTTGTACATTTGTGTTGTGATCTTTATAGGTCACCCTCCTGGCCGGTATGGGCACCACGAATCCCCAACTCCTCCCAGAACCTGTCCACACAGCCGATCGCCTGTCGACCCGATACCGCCTGTATCGAACCACTGTCATTGCACCCGTCCTCCTTGTCACACATGGCCTCCAGAGCTCGGTTCTGGTCGGCATCGAGCCCTCTCTCCTCGCGTACTGGCCCGACAGATGTGGAAGACCCGATGAAAATCGACATTATCGCGTCCGTCGCGAAGAACGTTTATTCGATCGGAAAGCAGCAGCAGCAGCAGCAGCAGCCGCTTTGCAGAATCGGAAACGGTTTCTTGAACGACAGCGATTCGCGCGATTGTCCCGATGACGCGAACGCGAACGCCCGAGTGGCGCCCGGTATCTTCAGGGTGCCGGACGTGCCGCGGCACTCGCGCAAGAATTACGAGAGGAACAGCTTCGAGGCGCGCAACGAACGTAACGCGATAATGAGCTCGATCGCCATGGAGGGTAACGGCCAGCCGGGTAGCTTCCCGATCGCGAAGCCGAGAATTAGCGCCGCGGGCTGGCGCGGCATGTCGAAGACCTGTGACTGCATCGAGAAGGGCAAGACGAGCCCGGTGTTGCGACTGGTCGATCAGGCCAGAGCCGTGTCCTCCCCCGATCCTCTCCATAGGCCCGACAATCAAAGAGCCCCGCTACGTCCCACGACGACAGCTCAGACCCTCAGGTAGGTTTTCTCATTCATCAGCGAGTTTTTCAGTTTTTTTCCCGCGATTCTTTCACGGGAGACGATCTCGCGAGCGTCTCTTTCTCTCTCTTTCCTCCGGTTTCCTCAAAAAGTCTTTGTCTTGTCTGGTTTCCCCGTTTTCAACTCCCCGAGACGATTCTACGCGCCGCAATATCTCGCTTTATCTTGAGTGATTAATACCCTCTCGGTCGCAAGAACGCTTATTGGGAGGAGATATCTAGAAGGGAGATATTTCCGACCGGAGGAGTGAATATTTACGACAATGCATTTGATTAGCCGACGATGCGCCGCATTTTATCCTTGCATTAAACGGTCTTTATTCGAAGGTGAGGTCATCTCACTTACAAATCGTTAACGACGACTGTATGTCCGGCATGCCGGAGTAATTGGTGATTCCGTCCTGAGCGAATCAGCAGATGTTCGAAGAAGCAATTCCCCCCTCCCCCACCCTCAGCGTTTCTCTTCCTTGTGCAACACATCATGTTTTCTACATTGAGAAAGTTGAGAAAAGCATATTCCAAGTTACATTCACCAATCTTGCTTTTATCAACTATTTAATTTATTTTACGTATGTTTTTTTATATCTTTTATTTCGGTGTAATTTTAGTCCAATTTTTATTCAGAGAGTAGAGCGATGCTTGAGACGAAATAAATAATGATAATTCAATAGAGAAGTTCGTGTTTAAAGCTCATTTTTGCGCGTAATCGATTCGCTTGAATTTAATGCCGTAAGAAATTAACGATACTTGATCGATCGTACATGTAACATAAGAATGTAAGAGATGTCTATCTAATCGTATAGGTATTCATTCAATGAAAAATGATGAATTTTTTGGACAGATTTAAATTTAATATTACGCTATCGCTTAATTATCTCCCACATCTTACTTTTATCATACGACTGCAATAACTCATGATTCATTAACCATGATAACTAAATGCTCGATCATTTATCATTTCTGTGCCTTTGATGTGAGCTAATTAAATATATGCTACGTATTATATGGCAGTTCCAAGTAAGAAAAGTTATCTGATATCTCGGTACAAGGGGAATTGTGCGCCTGACGTTTTAACATAAGAGCATAGTCAACATAATCAAAGAATGTGTGTCTCGTTAAAAATTCATTGTTATTCTCATGAGATATACAATCTGTTCTCACATTTCTTTCTCCACTTTCTTACAAAGCCACGACTTTAATATTATTAATGTGTTTATCATCACGTTTTAAGATTAGATAGAGACTTATCCAAATGATTCCTCAACTGTCGTAATATATACGTATATGTATATATATATATAAAATTAAATCTCTACTGTAACATAAATATCCTTGTAAAATAATAACAGGTGGAAGAGAAAATTAAATTTGTTACGATTTAATAAGTAATGAGAATAATAAAGAATTAAGAATATGTAAAACACGTAAAGTGCAGTGTAATTCATAATCAGAACCAGAAGCAATGTCGCTGTCATTAATCTAAATTTAATTAATCTATAAGCTGACTGTCCGCAAATGAAGAAGTGCAGATCGGGGTATTTAGCGTTGTATGCGGTAGCTATGCTTTCAGTTTGGATGGCTTTGTGAATCCTTGCAGGGGTATTGGCGGAGGCCACCGGAAGTTGCTGGACGGGGCGGGGGGCAAGCTGGCTACCGTCGCCACCAGTCCAGCGGACTCTGAGGAGTCCTCGATAGGGGTGCCGGAAATCGCGCCGCCGAGCTCGCAGCACCGAAACAGCATTACCCCACCGTCAGTCCATGCTTTCGTTCTTACGTATATCCTTCCTTCATGCATACACCTTTGCTTTCCACCAATGCAAAAACACAGCAGTTTCTAGTCTCTATGATATGAAGAATACTTAACTGTGTGCTAGCACATTTAATCCTGAGGCAGGCAATGATTAGCTTGATGCATGCAAAATGTAACTTCTTGCTGTCTCTCCCACGTAGCTTCCAGTTATAGTTTATGCATTTCAATTAGTATTAATATTAACTCTGCTCTTTATGCCGTAATATGAATGTATGATACATCAGAACCAGATTATCAACGAATCGATATTTCAATATTAATTCAATTTTGTGATAAATTAATTAGTTGGTTTAATGATATATTTATTTACTACAATAGAAAATTGCAGACGATTCGAATATTAATTAAGGAGAAATGAGTTTGAATATCAGATTGATTGTTTGTAGCAATTACTTTTTTTTCTATCTTATGTAAGTCTTTGAGTCACACATGTAAGCTACCCGATGCAGAGCATGTTTTTATATCTTTGATGATAAAAATCGGTAAAATATATTCTTCGTAAGGAAAATAAAAAATCATTGTTTTAATCGCGCAGCGGGGTGAAAGTGTGATGAAGTGGGCCTTGAACTGGCTAGTCAGAAATTTCCGAGAACAAGAGGACCTTAATAAGGCTTAAGTGCTCTCCAAGTTTGCTCCTACTCGCTGGGAATAAGCGAGCTACGAACCAAATCTAATTTCACCGCGTCGCGTTTAAAACGAGACGATTTACATTTCACTGTGGCCCGACGCTGATCATCGTCTGACGATGACAGCCTGGGCGCACGTTAGCAATAATGTCTGTCGTTAAAATTTATCTACGCTTGCCGGAAGTCGGTGGCCGTCCAAGCCAATGATTCGGTAGAAACGACGATTCGTTATAATGCTCGGCGGCACCCTGTAAACTTCTCTCTCTCTTGCTTCCTTCCTCGCCGTGCAATTAATCCGCAAGAATTCACATCTGCATGGCTTGCCGGATCTAATGCATGCTTCTCACACGCAAAAAATGCAATTATCTCACAAAAATTCACTAAATAATACTTTCGTGCACCACATTCACTTCTCTACATTAATCTGTTAGAAATAATATCTCTATTTATTATTAATTTACTTGTTATTTATGTTTTATGTTTGTGTGAACCGTTTTATTGTACTAAACGTAATTTATTTCACATATTAACTCCTTATGACAGAATTTTCTTTTATCAATTCTAAATTAAAATTCTGAGTTCTTTTTAATAAAATAATTTTCAACTTAGAGGAAAATTAGATTAAAAAAATAGAAGTACAAATATTGTTTAATAAAATTCAAATTGATTTTTTGCTCTCATGTTTTAATGTTTACCGCTTAATTTTTTAAAAATATTTAAATCTTTAAAATTTAAAAATGACAAATAGTTATTTCATTAATCGAAACGTTTCTTTTAATATTTATTTATAAATTACATTTACTTTTTTAATTTATTTAAATTATGTTATTTAAATTATTAGTAACATATTGTTAATATAATAATCATTATAGGTTCTATTTTTATTCTCAGGCAACTTACTTAATAATCTTTGTTTTTTTTTAATTTTTAATTAACTTTATCTTATCTATTGTAATTAACACATATATGGTACTCTTCTTTCTGCGATTTTTTTCCCCTCTTTTTCATTCGCTCACTCAATTAAGCGTTCTTTCCCTCAACTTCCACGCGTATAATTAATCGTCTCGATCACTACCCGCACGAGAAGTCGTCTCCCCTGTACATTAAATTTACTGTTAGTACCCTCACTCGGAGAACTACGCATTTATTTCTTTTGTACGTTTATCGGACACTCACGTCTCAACATAATGTTTCTCCTACTTTAAGTGAGTGCGTTACACACATACTCGATGATACATTCACCTCAAGAAATCCAATAGATGCGAGCACATCGGCATGGAATACATATTTTCTATATAGGAACAACACCTTTCTTAATTTTAGAAGAATTTTAAACTACACAATTATTTATTGATTACGTATCTGACATATTTATTGCTTGTAGATACAACTGTGACACTACTCTGCGGAGAAATCAAGGCGATATGAAATATTAGATAGAAGCTTTGTGTTCTAGAAATGTATTATATCGCTGCCCTGAGCTTATTTATTACAGCTAAGATTGAACGAATAAATAAACTCAGAACGGACGTAGAAAGAAATGATCGATCAAATCTTGCTTTCAAGCCAGACTTAATCGATCATCTCATTAAGCAAGATAGCGGCATGCAGTAAGTTATAATTATGGCTTACATCTACCGTGACGAGTAATTGCAATAGATTAGTGTGCCGTAATGGAAGATTTAGACCTCTTCCTGGATTAATTATCAATTTTTCATAATCTACGTAGTCAATGAGCCGACGGATAAAATTAATTCTTATAAACCGTCTATTAGATTCGTTCGCGTTGTAATATTTGTATCCGCGCAATCTTTCATAAATCTTCGTAACCTTTCGTAATCTTCCGATTTCGCCGAACAGAGTAGTGTCGCTACTTTATTCCTGCTTTTTTTATGCCCAGTGCTCGATTTAATAACGATAGAACGTGTCGCGATATGCAATGAAAATGAGGGTTTAATTTGTACGTCATTATTCGCAGAAATCCTTCCAGCGGTTCGGGTCTCAGTGAAACTGGATCCCTGGACCGTGCTAAGGCTGCGTTGGAGCGTAGAAAAAAAGCGGAGGACGGTGCCGGTAATCCTATCCTCTGTAGAGTTGAAGTCACCAGGCCGAATCCCGATTCTCTTATCGACGAGCTGCTTAAGGCAACGAATTTGGAGCAGACCGATCTTGAAAGTTCCGAGAGTACGTTTTCCTTTTAATTTCTAATTTATTTCAACATAGTTGAAATATTATTATTCACAACTGTTCCTTACTTTACAGCGCAAGAAATGAAGAGAAATCAAAAACAATTGAGCAAAAGATACAAAATCGTTTTATTTTCTCTAAACTGTAATTGTTTAATTACGTTGAAATATTATTCCCAACTACCTTTATTTTCCAGCGTAAATTTTTGAACGAGTACCTGAGAAAGATTACAAATTTTGTAAATAAATAAGCCGTTTGCATTTTGCAGCAACTGGTCTTCAACTCTTCATCGCGAAAGACGGCACGACCGCGCTTGGTAGTCACGAGGTGAAGAGCCAGATGCCCGCCGGTGTGTTCAAGCAAGTGGTGATGGAGGAGAACAACAGGTAACACGAAGCCATCACCACGAGACGGCAGTATGCAAGACAGGCCAGCGCCACGTTCTCGTTGGCACTGGTGCCAGAGCTCGTCTACGAAGCCTACGAGCCGCGGTAGTCACAAGAGATGACGACAACGACGGACGAGGGAATCGTCGACTCGGGAGGAGCAGCCAAACGCGGCGCGAAACGTCCGCACATCCTCACTAGATCGTACTAGACTGTACCTCTCTCCTCCGTGTAAAAAGAACGTGCCTCGACGATCAGTCGAACTGATATCCGTCGAAGTAGTACGTTCGAGTCGATTACTTCGTGTGAAATCCATTGTACGGATTCGCAGGACCGAGGCTGATACTGATCATCTCATCTCATAAGTGCGCATTGAAACGTGAATAATCGGACAGCCGTGTGCAGCTCGCGAGATTGTCGGTCGCGTCTTCGACACGCGGCTGACCGAGACAATTCTCTCACACGTGGGTTTTTGCATTTTCCAAAATCTCGTGCAGCGAACGAAATCCATGTGCCAGCGTTGCCACTTCACGACGCTGTAGTCGCAGCTGCGTGCACAATTTACGAACGATGTCAGGTTAAAAAAAAAAAAAAATGAGAAAAATGTTCACACGTTTTCGAAATCATTTCAAAAAGACAAATATACATATTTTCTTCCTGGTAAACGAAGCACAATGATTCCCGTCAAGCGTGCTTCGCTTGAAAGGGAAGGGTTAGTCAATAAAGTTTAACCGAGAGGGAGTACAGAGCGTAGCGCGAAGGAGTATAGTTACAGAAAAATAACGACACGGCGAAACACGGTCAAGGTCCGACGAAACTTCGCAATGGGAAGTAACATCGAGCAAAACTTAAGCGCCAACTTTATTTATCTACCTATAGCAATATATGACGACGACGTAAGCTTGCGCGGACGTACACTGTGAAGCGGCTCGCGGAAGTCGGTGTGAAAAGAAATATCAAATTGAGACGTTGTATATCGTGATTATATCTTTTGTATAAAAAGTATTCTTGACAGCATTTCTGACAATATTAGCCGAAACGACGAATATTTCCCGGTGGATGGCTCGAAGTGAATTTCCAGGAGAGGCATCCCGGGAAATTACATTCTGCCGATATCTCGCTTTTAAATTGTAGTTTTCTTCTGCGTATTAACAATTTACTTTTGCTTTATATTGTATGCATATATATTTTTCTACCGATTATTTTTTGTTGCGTTCTTTCCTCGATTACAAAATCTTTATATGTAATTAATGTAAAAATGCGTTTAAATAATATGCTAGAGGTGAGATCAGTTGAAATTAATCGGTCAGTTGAACGGAGAGAGAGAGAGAGAGAGAGAGAGAGAGAGAGAGAGAAATTTATAATTATAAATATATTGCTGAATGCGTTTGTAAAAATATAAGAGCGTAGTTCTATAATTTATATAAATATTGTTTTCAAGTAGCTTTCCCTTGAAAACGGCATAGTTTTGATACTTGTTTTGACACTATTACTGAGCAATTCCGATTCTTGAATTCTGTAATACTTCTAAACTAGCCGATTCACTTCTTTTTTTTTAAATGGAAATAAAGTTGAAGATATTTCTGTATAAAAGTTTCACGACTGAATATACATGTACAGGACGTATTATTATTTTGTATTATATCGAGCTCGACGAAGATGGACCACCGTTTCGTCGAACCTTCTCCAAAGGCCCGGTGAACTTGACGCGACCGGCTGTACCGGTAGTAAATCTGTGTATATAGCTGTAGTAATTGTTACGTAGCTAGATCGCTGGTGTTGTATACACATTCTCTCCGTACTCGAATAATCCTGTAATTGCTAGTATACATTGTGCTGACGTATCAAAAAATGTATGCGCGCGTGTACTTGTGTACGTGTATGTGCGTGTGCGTGTGCGTCTCGTGCGTGTTTCCTTTCTGAAGGTTTTTCCGTGTGTGTCTGCCAGACGAAAAGAAAAAAAGTGCGTGTGTAGTGTTGGGTGTGCCTGTGAATCGTTGCAGAGGGTAATAGCGAGTACTTCCAGCGTCCGTGAGGCCCGTTTCGGAAATTAGTCTGAGCGTTCCGGTCCTCTTGTGGCTCGTCGCAGAAAGATAAGATGAACGCGAGTACGAAGTCGATAAAATCGCAATTGCACAAAAAAAAACGCTTCTTCAGAGCTTGCTCTCCGAAGCAATTCACGCCGGTTTGATTTGATCGTACCGATCTTGAACGCGCGCTCGCGCGAGCGACTTCCCTCCCCCCCCGAGAAGATTTCCAAGATGTTCCCCGTTCGGGTTCCGCTCTCAGGGATCGAGTTCGCTAATTACGCTAAACCGGGAAGACTGTAGATAGCGGTGATAATAATCGCCCGACGTTCCGACGGCAGATTCGTATATTCGATTTGTGAATCGCAAAGTTTGATAATAAGCAGCCGTCGCGCTGTACGTTTTTCTTATAACTAGATCGATACGTTCCTTCCATTGTTGCGTTTCCTCTTCATTTTTACGTACGTTTCTTCTCCTTCTTCTAGGTCATACCCGAGTGCCGTTCGATACCACTTCGATTTTATACGAAACCACGACCGTATCGTATCACTCGAACGAGTTCCATCGCGAAAACGACTTCCGGGTTAACTTTCAACCGCCACGGTGAGATCGAGCCCATTCCCATATCGCATATTTTATAAAATAACAGAAAAATTGCTCAATATACGCGTAGTAACTTCATCTCGATGCAGGATTTTTAAGAGTTTGTAAGGAGTTTGTAGAGATTCGATAATTGTAACTTGACAAAGCATAAATTTAAACGCTTAAAAGCTTGCGATTATTTTCAAAAATTGTGAAAAACATAAAGTATATAATTTTTTAATTAATTTAAATTTTTAATTTATTATCAATTATATTATACTAACATATTTTATATATGTATTTTTGTTAATGTATTATTAATTATTTTTTGTTTGTAGTTTTTAATACTTTTTTTTGTTCGTCACGAAAATAGATAGCAGAAATAATTGGGGTATGATTATTGGAGGATAACGGATAATAATTAGAATTGTCAATTTGTTGAAAAATATAGTGCCATTTAATAAATAAAAGCTGAACCCACTATACATATAGCAATCATATTCTTCATCTTCGATCAAAGTGGTTGCGAGTTAAAACGCAAGTCGATCCGCAAGCTTTCGCGCGGGGTTGCGCGCGAGAGTTATTTTTTCATTCGACACGCCGCTTGTGTACAGCTCTTTTATTTATAAAAATACGCGCGCGATGACCGGGAGACGTGATTTCTCCATTGCGGAGCGTGTCGCGTTCGCCGATTGACGATTAGTTAATTTATTGAACGTAGCTTCTCGCGAAGGGGTAACTGTACGCGTGAGTATCCTTCCCGAGTGAGACACCAACGAGATTCCTCGTTTCTTTCTTCTACTTTTTTTTGTACGTCGAGACAAAGAGAGATAGGTGCGAAAAGTGTGGAATCCGCTCGCTCGCTTCGCGTCTCTCCCTTCGCAAGAAGCCACGATCGCAGACCGTTCGTTTCATTCGCTCGGCAGATATTAATGTTGTGATATTTTACGATACCGTAATAATAAATACCGTTATTACCTGTATTATTATCATCGAAATGTATTGTAAACAAAAAAATGCTTTATCTTTATTTTCGAGGGGAACGGCCGCCATGCGAGTCCGCAAGTCGCGCGCGTGGCCGCCTTCCTTTTAATTCGCAATTGTTGACATTTTACGTCTAATCTTTACTTTGTGAGACGAATACGAAACTTCCATGTGCTGATAATAACATTCTGAAAACCACGCGTGTCTCGTTTATTTGAAGAATCCTCATCTCCACATTGCTTTTCTTCACGAATCAGAAAAGAATAATGCGCGCACTATTTGTTTCTGTCTCTGACTCATATAGTAGAAATTTTAGCAATATTAAAATATTAATACAAATATATGATATATTTTTAGTAGTACAATAAGTAAGAACTTTTTGACGGTAAACGCAAAATACAAATATTATATTTAAAATTTACAATAGGCATTATATGTTTTTATTGATTTTTAAAAGACCTTTTGAATGGTACGCTTATCCCGATCACTTCTAGTTCTGTTATTCATTTTGTCAGCTAACGTTTTTGTATTATCTGATTAATTTGTAATTTTTTATTTTTTATACACAATTAAATTACGTAATCTTTATAAATAGATCGCTATTAAATTAAATGAATTCGTAAAGTAGAGAACTTTACATTATCGACGCATTATTTATTTTATTTTACAGGTACATTTTCGTGTTTTATTAATCTTGTGCAATAGAATAGGTAATTACAAGAAACCAAAAAGAGTAGGAAAAATAATAGCTAGAGAACAAGATAGTTAGACTTAAGAAAACAAATTTAATTCTTTCATTTTCATCCAAATTATTTGATAACTACAAAAATATTTGCTCATATTTTACATATTTTATTCAGAAAAAACTTTAAACATTTTATTTTTTGTTTAATTTCTAAATTCAGATATGTGCTAGAAATTAACTATACAAGATTAAAGTATATATGAGTGAGATTATAAAATATACATATACGATTATTTCATAGATATGACTGTATACAAAAAATTGTAATTACTATTTTTTTAAAATGTTAACAAAATATGCATGCATATGGCTACAGAGACAAGAAAACACAACAAAGAAAATTAAAAATAGAGAAAAGAAATATAAAATTGAGTATAGTAGAAACATAAAATAATCAAGAATAAAGTAGAAGATATTTTCCATTTTATATTCTACGCTCAACATTTCTATATTGGCATTCTGCAATTGAATTTTACTCTATCCTTCTCTTCTACTTCTTTTTCCCGGTCTCCGTCCATATTTTAATAGTGCATACGTCGGTTTTCGTAAATGTTTTTAATATGATGTTCTTGCGTTATAAATGACTTATGTATAATGTAGGTGTTCGAATGTACGTACATGTATATATATGGGAAAATCTCTCAACATTACACCTACATGAAAAAATTTATCGTGAAATTTCGCAAATGTCTGCATTTACAAATTGTATTTTATCACGTATAAAGGATACACTATCATGTGTATGTATAAAATCTTGCGTCACACTGACAATGAAAATACGATAGATGTACATGATGTTTCTGATGCGTGTGATAAGTCACACATTCATTTCGTATATGCATTCTTATGGAGTAACATGTTGCGAAAACAAACATGCGTGTAAAGAACGTGGCGTATCATCGTGACAAAAGTAATGAAAATTTAATCTGACTTTTTTTTACGTGACAGTGATGAACTGTGTATTTTAAATACTTTTGAATCGAATATCGTATTTACGAACATTGGGATTCGTAACTATTCAAAATTATATAAAAAGTTAAAGTATCTTTTCTGAAATAAAAAATAATTAATTTGTCTAAAACAAAATTAATTTGTCTTGTAAAAAATGGCTTTTGTTATTTTGTTTCTTAAAAAAGAAAGGAAATTGAATTTCATTGTTAGATTAAAGTATTAAAACATATTTCTCTAATTACATAGTTATTATAGCCTTGTGACAATTTGGTGATAAGAATTTTCATCTTGAAATGATTTCAGGAGTCTAACATTAACTATATTGTCACGGTTGGAACACCTTGTATACTCATTATTCACTGTTACACAAATGAAGCAATTCATGAAGCAATTAGTCAAGGTGGTATCGATATGAAAATAATAAACGTGATTCAGTTATTTTAAAGGTAACGAATCCTCGGAGTTTGACGAGATACATCCGAGAGACGAGGGTTTGCAATACATACAATCATAGAAATGTATGTTTCATAAAATGTATAAAAACGATCAGATGAGAATTATTAGACGTCGCGCATTTTATACATGTGGATATCTTAACACATTTTCTAAATTACATAGATGGATATAAACAGATATGTTGAATTAATAATTAAGTTAGTCATTTATTGCAAAAGTTATACATCATTAAAATTCTGTTTAAAGGAAAAAAAATTTTATTTTTGCATGTTTTATCATAACATAGATTCACATAATATATATTTTGCACACTAATTATCACCACAAAGTTGTTAATCGCGAAATCTTACCCCAAAATTCCGATTTTAAACTCGATTTGTTACAAACTCATTGTTAAAATCTTGTTCAATTATTTTGTATTTTCTTAACTTAATTCGCTAGTTTCGAAGAATAAAATAAGGATTTTTGCCTGAATTTTGATGAATTAAAAAAAAGTGAATTGACAGATCTTTATCACATTATCTTTTACGTGTTTAATAGAAGAGAAGAGAACTGATATCTTTTACTGATAGATACCTACAACAGATTTATCGTTGTGTAACTTTTGACTTACATATACTGTCATATCATTTACTATGATCAGTATTCATAATTTGTTTTTATTTCAAGATTGTCTTAAGTAATGTCTTAAGATGCTAATATGATTTTTGGTTTATGACATCTTGAAACTGTATTTAGGCTGGTCTTAAATATAAGAATCCACTGTGAATAGTGACCTATATGACATTTTCTTTAATTCCTGTTTGACCAAGTTGTTGCAATATTTCGTAAAAATTCTTTATACTCTT